AATCCAGTCTTCCTAGCTTCTGAATAGGTGGCCTTTCCACCACACCACAATGTGAGCACTCTATGTTTAGACAAGGTTTAGGGTTTAAGACATTTGCCCTTCAGAATCACCCAGGGAGCTGCCAAAAAATTCCAAGGACTGCCTGCTTCCCTCCTGCAACCATTGAAATCAGAATCGGGGCATGGGGCTGGGGCATCAGTATCTTTCAAAGGTCCCTTTGGAAAGCCTAGTGCACAGCCAGAACTGGAAACCTTGGGCACAGTTGGGACTGTTTCCCCAGTGCTGTTTCCTCCACACCCCTACTTTCTTTCCAGGCCTGGCTATCAGTATGCTTTGGCCCATCTGGGGAAGCGGCCTAGGATGTCTGTTGGCGCCCTTAGCTCACATGAATGTCACTGTTGTTTTCCAGAGTAACTCCCCCAAGACGCTGTCACCCAGGCCCAGTCCTCAGAGCCGATGTCTCTTGGGGCCCCCTGAGAGGAGGTGTGATCAGGGAGGTGGAGAGGCAGGCAGCTCTGACAGACAGAAAGCAAACAGCTCAAAGGGGTGGCAGGCTGCATTTTATTCATCGTTAATTTCAACACCCTTCAAACCCTCTCTTGGAGTGCTGCTCGGAAAAATAAATGTATTGTTTAAGAAACCCTGCAGACTGGCCCCACATGCTCTAAATCCCTCCTAAGAGAACAGGGAGCATAGAAAATGATCTGTAAAGCAAGGGGAGAGCTTTCTTAGGGAAGAGAGGGTGGAAGAGGGGATGGGGTCGGGGTGGAAGGGGAGGAGGCTGACAGCAAGGGGAAGGGGAGGGTCTTGGGTCAGGTTGGTGCAGTAATCTCACCACTCCAGGGTGGAGACTGACTGGGTGGGCACGGTGCCTGGAGGTGTCAGAGCTGCTCCAGGGGCCAGAGTCCAGGCTGATGGCCCTGTCCTCGGGGTCAGGAGTGCTGTCAGCAGCCCTCTCCCCCTCTCCCCCACCCCACAGAGTAGGGAGCCTTGGCAGCACCAAGCAGCACATTTTCTAACAACTGTTCCAACAAAGAAATGAGCCCCAGCCAGTGCCTCTTCTGGACTCAGAAGTGCCTCAAGCAGTCTGTCTGAATGTGCTTTCCAGACAGTGAGCACGTGCAATTGTGCTTTTTGTTTGTGAAAAATGTAAAAAGTTACAGTAAGATGGAGCCGTCTGGCCCATGGCTCCTGCTGTGCCAGGTCGCTCCTCACCCACCTGGGAGGGGGCACGCAGGAGGCAGGGCTCTGCTGGGAGGCCTGTCTGAGGGATGGAGGAGCCTGAGTACATTCAGCAGCTGTTTTCCAGGGTTTGGCTTGGGTTTGGTCGCTGGCTTCTGTGTAAAACACAGATCTGTGCAAAGTGTTCATGAAATTCCCCCAAGACAGGGAGGAATTTTCCAGGCCCTTGCAGATTTCCAGGGAGCTGAAAATGCAAAAATCCTTCTTCTTAAAGTAGCCCAGAATGGGAGTTTTCTTTTTCTTTTTTTTTTGCCTTGGGGAAAGGGGCTAGTAGCTCTTTATAAAGCTGACACGTGTGTATGTGTGTGTGTGTGTGCACGCGCATGTGTGCATGAGGCTGCAATATGTGACACTCCTGGCAAAAGCCCAAGATTGCCTGGCATTTTCCACAAGCTGAGGGCCTGAGGCTGCCTGAGCCTTCTGCTTCCTCCGCCAGACCCAGACAGAAGCACTGGCTTCAGTCAGAGAACACAAGGGCCTGACTACTTGGTCTTCTTACTGAACACGGCACCAAGGCATGCCCTTGCCCGCTCGGCTCTGGAAGGCCGGGCTCCTGTCTAGGATTCTGGCCTCTGCATGGCCACAGCTGGGTGACAAGGGCTTCTTAGAGCCCATGCTGTCTTTACTGGAGCCTCACAGCCCCAGCACGAGAGGAGTGAGTGTGGGCCTCAGGTTAGGAAGCAACTCTTGGAGCCCGAGGGCGCTGTGAGCTACCAGCTGTGGGTCAGACCGGAGACCCCTGCGTGGTGGGAGAGGCCACAGCATTTAAGAGAAAGGAGCACTTTCTTAGCCAAGGGTTCAGAAACCTGCACCAAATCAGGGGTCCCTAATGATGTCTATAACCCTGAAATGACAGGAGGACCCCGTCCCAGCTTGTCAGGCAGGTCTAGTTCTCAGTGCTCGCCCTCAAGCAGGATATCAAACAAGCCCTTTAGCTCTGGGTCTAGGCTCCGACAATCCCACTGACGTTGCGAGTTTGGCTTTTCCAAGGGAAGCAGCCCCTTTGGCCTGAGGTAAAAGACAATGTTTATTGAGAAGCGGGGAGTAGACTAAGGGAACGTGAACAAAAGTCCGTGGATACCACTGAGCCCTGATCTGCCACTGTACACTAGAGGGCCGGTGTTTCTCTGGGAGGTTGCTGAGGAAGAGAGGTCCCTTTCCTGGCTCCCTTGAATGATGCTTTCAATTCCCTCAGAAGCGTGCTCAAGCTGTCTGCAACTGCCTCCTTCCAAAGCGAAAGCACAGGAAAAGAAGTGAAAACAGCTAAGGCTGCAGCATGAGCAACCCAGAAGAGACGTTAGGGAGCAGCGGTGACAAGAAGACTGCCAAGGAAGGTGGCGAGCTTTTCTTCTCTGGAGGCAGATCCTGTTCCCTCTCGTGGGGATGGGATTCTGTGCGGTCCTGTTTGCGGTCAGAGGATTGCTGGACGCCCCTTCTAGCCTGCCTAGCTCAAGCAGCCTTGATGACTGTGTCTTAAGTCTTCTGTGCTGTTCCTGGGGCTCGCTTTCTGGGTAGGTTGCTGTTTTGCCTGTTGGTAAGTCCTCGTGGTCTAGGTATCTCTGTCACGGGGATGTCTGCTTTCCCTCTGGATGGCTCAGATCCCCAAGTTATTTCCCGTTGCCTAGGTGACATCTCTAATTGGATGCCTTTTCATCTTTCCTTCTTTTAAAGGGACAGACCTGAAACCTTATTTCTAGGTCCCGTTAGAGGACTCTGCCCTGAAAACATGTGTGCCTCTCTGAACATGTGGTCCCTTCAGTGTGACTGCAGCTGTCGCTCACATGGAGGAAGGGGTGGCGGGGTTGGGAAGGGTGGCTCATGGAGCCAGTCTAGCTGATGTCACAGTACATCCTGGAAGTGTGGCTCTCTGGAAGCCTACCCTTCAGGAATTGGCAAGATTGACTTCTGTCCAGGCCCGCTCCTCACTGGCTTCACCCCCAGATTAGGGTCTGTGTTTAAAAGCCAATTTAGGTCCAAATTAGAAATGACCCCTCACCAACCAAAAAAGAAATGATCCCAAAGTAGCTGGAGAGTTGCTTAGATCTGAATTTGTTTTTCCCTTCCTGCCATGAACTGGAAGGGGCGAGGGGAGCCTGACATTCAAGCATGACTCTTAATGCTGTGTGTGTTGTTTGAGAGTCCCAGGCACATATGCTTCCTTCATTTCCAAGAAGGGAGATTTCACGGCTTTTGATGCCTTTCAGGCAGAAGGTGTGAGGTGTCCTGGTGCTTTTCTAAGACTTCCTGTCAGAAGCTGTATATATATATATATTGGTGGGTCACACTGTGTCTGACTAGACTCTGGTATTTGTCCTTGGGATCGTCGTCTTTTTAGATGAGAAAATGGGCCGATAGAGGATTGTGCCTTTATAGTCCGAGACCTTCATCTCTTCAATGAAGACTGGGCATCGGGCCTTCCTCCAGGTGGATGACTCCCTGTGAGGCAGAGGGTGAGTCTAGGAGAACCTGTCCTTCAGCTTGAGGATCATCCAGACCAAAACTTGAATCCCAAAACTGCTTCTCCCATCCACCAGCTCTCTCCCTCCGGCTTGCCTCCACTTCCAATACAGACTGTGGGTGTGGAAAAAAAGACGTTCACCTGAGTATCAGAGGGACTCACAGGGCTCAGAATGGGATGTATCCCAAACACATCATGGGCTCTGGACTCATGTTCTCTGCTTGCAGGATGGCTGCTTTGGTTCCCAGGGCTGCAGGCCCTGGTGCCCACCGGTGCAGCTAGCAGAGCCCTGCTGCAGGGGAGGGGCAGCTGGAGGGGGTGCTCTGCACCCCTCAGGCTCTCTACAAGGGAAAAAAAGGTTGAGGAAAAAAATCCCCACCAACAAAGAAAAATCTTGTCTGAGAAGACTCAGATGTTCCTGGCTAACAACAAAAAGCATTCCCGCGGATGATGCTGGTGAAAGGAAGGAGAGTTGAGGGGATTCAGAGATGTGCCCTGAGCCACAGAGATCAACCAGCTGAGGCAGAGCTGGGCTTCTGTAGCCTGAGTGAGCCCTGAAGTGAAGCCCACTCCAGGCTTTCCCTCCTTAAACAGAGTTGCCCAGCTCCATGTTCTAAGTGGACTAACTCCAGGCTGAGAAAGGCCTCCTAAGCCCCTTACCATGGCAATTCCCAGATCTCTGGGAAATGCCACAGTCCGCAAGTTGGTGCTATGCTGCATCTCATTGCATAATACTACACCATTCTCTGTGTGTAGCGGCTGTTCTATATATATACATCAGGAGGCAACATATGGCTCTCCCCACCCCCACCTGTCATAACTGTGACTATATCATTTCTGACGACCAGAAGGAAGCTGCTAGGCTGGGCCAGGATTCTAAATGCTGCGGAGGTAATTCAGAGCCATGGAAAGTTGCACCATATGCTTTGGGGTTGCCAGCTGCTTATGTGCATGGAGGCGGGGTTTAGTGCCAGTCTGCAAAACCCTGGGGTGGCACTCCCCTGGCTGCCGTGCACACCAGGCGAGGGTCTGGGGTGCCACTTTTTCTCTCCCCGGAGGAGAATCTGCTGGGGACCACGGTTCTCCAAGAAGGGGACCCACAAGAATAACAGGCTCCCCCAAAACCTGCCCTTGATAACATCAGGCCTGGCCAAATAGTATTTCTTTAAAAAAAAATTTTTTTTTTTGTTTCATTTTATTGGATAAAGGTTAAGAAAGCGCCAGCGTCTGAGAGGAGAGCAAACGCCGCCCGGCTGCACGCCAGCCTGCTTGAGGGTCCGTGGCGCGACAGGTTGCGCCTCTACCTGGAGGCGCTGGTCTCGGCCAGGCGGTTGTTCATGATGCCCAGCGCGCCCACGCCACCCGAGAAGCCGTTCTGGCGCGTATTGACGCACACGCTGCGCGGGTAGCCGTTGGCCGTCTCCGACAGCTGCTTCTGCAGCAGCGCCAGCGACACCTTGTTGGAGGCCGTGAGGTCGCGCATGGAGATGAGCTCGCCCGACAGGCGGCGGCCCTCGGCGTCGCTGTCGCGGGCCGCGGGGTCGGCGCCGAGTGCGGCCAGGCGGCGGCGCAGCCGGGAGCCCGGGGTGATGGCGTTGCGCCGGGCCAGGGGCGCGCCGGGCGCGGGGCAGCAGCGCGCGCAGCAGCGGCAGCTCAGCTTGCGCAGCATCCAGTTGAGCACCTGCTTGATGAGGATGGAGATGACGTTGAAGAGCGAGTAGATGCAGCACACGCCAAGCAGGATGAAGAGGAAATTGCCCAGGCGGTAGAGCCCCTGGTTCCGGTAGGCGGCGTGCTGGCTGCTCACCAGGTCCCCGAAGCCGATGGTGCTGAAGGTAACGAAGCAGAAGTAGAGCGAGTCCACGTAGTCCCAGCCCTCCACGCTGGTGTACATGGCCGAGGCGCAGCAGGACAGCAGCACGGCGAACAGGCCCAGGATCAACAGCACGTGGTACACCGAGGGCTTCCAGCCTGCCAGGCAGTCGGCCTCCGAGAGCGCGGAGCCGCGGCGGAAGGTGGCGGGCAGCAAGCCGCTCCGGCGCAGCTGGCGCTCCCGGCAGGCGCGCATGATGAAGGCCAGCAGCGAGATGATGCGCTCCAGGAAGAGGTTGAAGAACAGGATGGTCCCGGCGCAGCCGAACAGCCCATAGGCGATGAGGAAGGCCTTCCCGCCCACCGTGGCTGGGGTGGTCATGCCGAAACCTGTGGGGACAGAGCAGGGGTCAGCGCGATCCTGTGACAGGTGGTCCCCACCCGGCGCGGCGCAGTTGTATTCAGGTGTTGACATGGCTCTCATCCTGCGTGGCACCACTCACCTGGAGGAGAAGCAGTGCCAAGACATTTCTCTCCCTTGGTGGCACCAGATATGGTTCCTAAGTCTGGACAACCACTAAACTGATGGCGGATACATGACTCCTCTTCTGGGGGATCTATAAATCAGTACCAGTGGGGTGAGAGAGTCGCTAGGAAAGACCCATGGTGACACAGAAAACAGCTGCTCAGGGGAAGACACTGAGATACCCACAAACCACACAAGTGTCACCTGCTCTCTCACCACTCAAATGGTTTTTTTTTTTTTTTTAATGTACCAGTGGCACACTTGGGCCTTGTTAGGACAGAATTCCATAAAGGCTTCGTTTGATAGACTCTCTGGGGACCAGGTAGGGTGTGTTCAGTCCAGGTAGCTATATTTGATGGTCTCGGAAAAGGGATTTATGAAACTGACAAAGGGTTGTTTGAGAATGAGTACCCAACCTTCAGAGAGTGAGCCTGTCTCTGCCGTTGGACATCAGCTCTTTCTCACCCAAGGACCGCCATCAATCACCCTTGCTCCACTTGGAGCCAAGGGAAAGGTTTCAGCCCAGCTGGGTCCTGTGCTGCTGTGTGTCTGGAGTGACTTTTATCCTGAGAGGTCTGCTCTATGCTTGGGCAGCTGCTTACTGCTTTGAACTCTTAAAATTAAGTCTTAATTTACCTACTTGTTCAAAGCACAGTCTTGAAGGGAGTTTCTTTATCGACTGATTGCTGCAGAAGGCTTGGCTTCTGGCCAGGGTGCTTGGCCCATTCTGGCCAGGGTCCTGCAGATTGGCAGCTCTGCTCCTCCACCATGAGCTCTCAGCCAGCTGCCAGCTGTGATGTCTTTGTGGGACCCATAGCTACCTGACTCTGGTTATGGGAGGGGATGTTATCCCTTAGCAGGAAGATCCACTGCTGCTTGGAGTCTGAGCTGAAAACACATTATCAGAACAGCACGGTAGCACCTATCAAGACCTCTGCAGCTAAAATTCAGGGGCGTCCCTGTTTAATGCATGCCCAAGGTCAAGAGGTCTACCTATGCCCTGTTAGTGGGGTAGGGCCAGCTCCGGGAAAGGGGTGGCTTAACTATTTCCCTGAAAAACCTAGAGAATTTTTTTTTTTCAGAATGATTCCTTAAATGTGTATGCTAATCATTTTCTAGACTCCTTGGAGGAAATGCCCCATTGCCTGACATTGTGTTCATCTTATGCTTAATGACTCAACTTAGGAGAAAATCTTATAGTGATACCTCTGTTGAGGAAGATGTCTCCTCCTAGGGATTATGTCCCTAGGTTCAGAATTTGGCTATAAGAGTGTGAAAAAAAAAAAAACAAACTAGCAGTGTAACCAGGAGTTCAAAAGAGGGATTTTGCTACACTTTAAAGTCAAACTCAAGTTTCTGAATTCATAAAGAAATCAACTCTGAATCAATATGACTATATGTGGAGTGGGAGTGTTTGTATTTGTCTCTCTGTGTATTTGTAAAAGAAATCCTACTAGCCAGAAAGATAAAGACCATTACAGTATACTAACACATATATATGGAATTTAGAAAGATGGTAACGATAACCCTATATGCAAAACAGAAAAAGAGACACAGATGTACAGAACAGACTTTTGGACTCTGTGGGAGAAGGCGAGGGTGGGATGTTTCGAGAGAACAGCATTGAAACATGTATATTATCTAGGGTGAAACAGATCACCAGCCCAGGTTGGATGCATGAGACAAGTGCTTGGACCTGGTGCACTGGGAAGACCCAGAGGGATCGGGTGGAGGGGGAGGTGGGAGGGGGGATGGGGATGGGGAATACATGTAAATCCATGGCTAATTCATGTCAATGTATGACAAAAACCACTACAATATTGTAAAGTAATTAGCTTCCAACTAATAAAAATAAATGAAAAAAAATCCTACTAACAGATTGATAACCCAGGTGTCCCCCAGCATAATTAATTTATGGTCAATTCATACAAGAAAATACTATATAGCAAAGAAAAGGCAAAGACCACTGCTACCTGCAACAACATGAATGAACCTCACAAAAAGAATGTTAAAAGAAGCTGGACACAAAAGTATTCCATTGGCATAATATTCAAAGCCAGGTAAAACCAAACTACAGTACCTTTTTAGGGATGCATACCTGACTGGTAAAATTATGAAGGAAATTGAGATAAAAGTCAGAATTGGAGTTTGCTCTGGGGTGGCAGGGCGGGGTGAATGGAAGGGGACCCAGGGAGACTCTGGGGTGCTGGAAATGATCTGTTGATCTGAGTGGTGGTTAGATGAGTGTTCGTTGTATAATAACTTTTCAAACTATGTTTTAGGAGCTTTTTTACTCTCATGATAAGAAAAACCTCAAAATGCCTAGATGATTAGGAACTGTGAGGGATCTTAATTCTGGTCTACCTGTCACTGTATAGGTGAGGGAGCAGGGGTTGAGGGAACATGACCTACAGCTCATGGGGGACAGATGGTTTGTGGGGGGACAGATGCCATACTTGTGTCCTGGCTTCTTGCCTGGTGCTTAGACCATCATACACAACACTGCTGCTACTCATGAAGGGAAAACAGCACCTCTGGTTGGGGGATCACTTGGCTAAATTCCTAAAGAAATGAAAAATGCTGAACCTGGAATATTAATACTATGCCTAAGAGAAGATTGAATGGAATTTTCCTGTTCTTTAGAATTTTCAGCTAAAAGTTTAGCATGGCATGTAATACATTAGCCCTCATTCTAAAGAGAAGTTTTAAATATTTATTTATTTGACTGTGCTGAGTCCGAGTTGTGACATGCAGGGTCTAGTTCCCAGACCAGGGATCAAACCCGGGCCCTCTGCATCGGGAGCTTGGAGTCTTAGCCACTGAACCACCAGGGAAACCCATAAAGAGAAGTTTTAAATACACCTACATTGTATCTATTAAATCAGCAAAATAGGGTGACCAGTAACCTGTACCACCCACTTCCAGGCTGTACAGAAAGGCTAGAAAGTACCCAGGGATAATGGGAGATGGCCTTAAAATAGGAGGGTGCTGTGGCATCCACAAGACAAGAGATGGTGGGGGTGGGATTGGTCAAGAGAGCGTCAGGCTGCGCAGGGGCAGCCGGCAGCCCGTTTCCTGGTGGATGCTGGCTGAACTGCAGACACTTGTAAACTCGGCCTGGAGCCCCGGAGCAGAGCATGCTGAGGGTTCTGGGAGAGCCAGAGGTGTCTCCGGGAATCTGACCCTGTGCTGGACAACTCCCTGGGCCGAAGGCTGACTGGTGCAGCTCACACAGGCAGGGGCAGGAAGTGGGAGCACTAGTGGGGGCAGTCTCCTAGGGCATCCTGCGCCAGGGATGGGGAGAGTGACAGGGGGCAAGTGAATTCTGCAGCCAAATCTGAAGAGACTGCCCAGGAGGGCTGCCTCCTGGATCATGAGGGCCTAAGGGGCGGAAGGCAGGTGAGCATGCAGTGTGGTCATAGGAAGCACCACCCACTCAAGGAAAGGTGCAGGGTGGTGGTGCCTGTGTTTGGGGGGATCACCAAAGACATATGGGCTCCATGAAAAGGTATGCCTATCCTAACAGTGGGTGTTGTGGTGCAGCTGTAAGGCCAACCCCTACTGGCTCATTCCTTTTCCCAGCAAACACTGAGGACCTGGTTTGGCAGGCCTTGTGCTACACTCAGCGCTTTGGTGGAAAGCCAGACAGACGTCCTCACAGATGACCTAGGCTGCCTTCTTAGAGGTTTTACACAGCTCCCCACTTACCCCTCTGCTCTCAGTGGCTCACCCCTGGACAAGGGCAGAGCTTTTCCCTGCTGCCTCCACACAAAAGTTGGGCCAGACCTGGTCTTAAGGTCTCCTTGTGGCTATGACTGTAGGCCCCAATGACACCAACTGTGTGACTTGGCTCTGGCACTTTTAGCCGGAAATGAAGAGGACAGGCAGGTAGGAGGTTCCCTGACATCACAGAGGGCACCCAATGCCAGGGTCCCTCTCACTGGCCTTCTCCTGGGGTCTTGCCCCTGTGCCCACTTCACCTCCCTTTGCTTTCCTACAGACCCACCATCGGCTCAGCTCCAGAGACAGGGTGGAGGGGGCACGGTCCACTGTCCGTCCCCATCAGCACCAAGAGGCTCAGAGCTCTGGGGGCGCTGAGGGCGGTAGGGTCAGTGCCTGGTGCTGCTGCCTAGCCAGATGTTCCCACAATGGAAGAACAGTCCCCCCAAACCCGGGCAATCTGTGGGGAGCCAGGCTGGCTCTAAAGAAGGGCCTTGAAGCTTCAGCCAGAGAAAAGGCAAACCCAACTACCCAGAGAATTCCCCCTTCCCCCACTCACCCTCTGCAGAGGCGTAATCTGTCCCTGGGTTCGCACCAAGCCTGCTGTTTTGTTTATGCCACAATTGATCTGCCATCCCAGTTTGCAGAGAGCAGACACTTGGGGGCTTTATTATGCCACTTTGACAAAAGCTGTGAAGCTCATTCCCACAGTCTGTCTGGTGCCGCCTTCGCAAATGGGGCCCCAGTGACAGGGCCTCTGGAGTTCAGCTCTGAGAGCCTGGAAGAGAGATGGGGAGGCCAGCACTGATCTGTCTCAGGCCCTGGGTGGCAGCCTCTGTGCTGGACAGTGGACATGTCCCCTCATCCGGTCCCCTCGACCATCCTGACAGGGATGCATCATCAACCCCAACAGTGCAGGCAAGGGCATGGGCTGAATGAGATACTCAGCGAGTTACTGTTTGTAAGTGGCTGAACTGACTCTGGTGCCATTTTTCACTGCACCAACCAAATGGGACATTTGGTTCATCATCTGGGGCAACTTTACCCACTAGCTCTGCAGTGTCATCTTGGTGGAGGGAAAATATAATTTATAATCTAATCTGGGATACTTGACAGCAAATAATTACCCCAGGACAACAGGTGT